CAGCAGGCTCTGCGATGGAAGGTTCGGTTGGTGTGGCAGCTGCCCCAGGGCAGGGCTGAGTTAGATACTCAGCCATTGCGCGGACTTATTAGGTAAATTCCATCACTCGGAAAGTGTGGGCATCATGTTGGCAAGGACATCCTACAACGAGTCCTACTTCGCTCTATTCCTTGTTGCTCAATGATGAGGTAACTTTGTGACCTTTCTTTCTTGATCATACAGGACACAGTCAGATTCAGAAACAACTGGGTAATATGCACCCTTGTATAACCTCTCCCACTACAGAAAATACTCAGTGTTTTGCTAGTGTCCTTTAGGTGATGGATGTTTCCTCTCTACTGAGAGAGATGTGTGGTAGTTTTGTTAGCTCTTTTTTCTGCATTTCAAGTGTCTTTCTATGGCTGTGTCAACCTTGCAGCTTCCAGATCAGTGCCCCATGGCAGCAGCATTAGCAAACATACCTGGACCACACACGACTAAAGATGTTGGGGCTTTGGTAAACCTGGCTGCTCTGTTAATGCATATAGGCTGGTATGTCATCCATCTTGGTACTCCCCCTACGGCAGCAGGGGAATCGAGCTGTAACAGCAATTTCTGTCACATGGAGGGTGCACACTGCTCTTGTTGGCATCTGACACCATCCTATGCAATAATATTGTCTGTATTACCAGCGTCATTGGAGACCAACAAGTTGGGACCCTCTTTAACCCCTTATGGTCAGTATTGTGAGTACCTTTTGGGGCCCTTCACCATGGCACACTTCAAATGCAAGGGGCACAAGGGATAGCCAGCAATATCACTGCTAATGGGCCAGGGGGGTTACCTGAGGTTTTCCCTGGGGACTTTGCTACAGGTATGCGTGTTAGCCCAATGTTTAGTAAGGAAGAATTTTGTGTCCTTTTTTATGAATGCTTATGGGATCTGTTATGTTTGAGACATCAGGCCACAAAGGGTGCAAGTGTAGTTCTTCCCCTTCCTAATCTATTTTGGACTTGGCCATGTATGCCTTGGGTGTAGAGCACTTGTCTTTGGCCGTTCCTTGACCTTTTTGAGTGTTTACAAAAGTACTAGCCCCTTTTCTTGCACTTTTGCCTTCTTGGGGTGTCCATGTAGTGAGATATTTGGATGACCTTCTACCTGTCCAAACAAGATCTGAGGTTAAACATCCACAGGACAATTCAAACACTAGCTTTTTGGCTGGTTACTCGCCTACAGAGGTCTATGCTGATCCCCACTCACTGCCTGAAATTACCTGTATCTTCTCATGGATAGCGATCAGGCCCTGGTTTCTCCCCACCCAGAGAAAATTCAGTCTCTGTGGTCGCAGCTGTGGACCCTTAAAGCTAAGAACCAGCCCTTGGCGAGATTCTGTATAAGTGTCTTTGGGCTGATGTTAGCCTCCTTCGAGGTGGTACCATACATTCCATTCCAGACCACTTCATCTGAGTGTTCTAGTCGCATGCAAAAAACTGACTGTTTTACCCCGTGTACCTGCCTGCCAGGGAGAGAACCTCACTGGCTTGGTGGATCTGTGGTCCGATGGAGACAGGTGAAGTCCTTTTTGCAGCTGCAGTGGATGGTACTGACAATAGACACCAGCCTGTTAGGCTTAATGGGTATGCTGGGAACCTTAACTATACAGGGGAGCTAGTCGGCAAGGGAAAGCAGCCTATCCATCAATGTATAGAAGCTTAGAGCAATTGAACTCTCTCTCTACAGCACTCGATGTGTCACTTTAAAGGGTGACAAACGAGAGTCCAATCCGACAACGCTATGGTCGTGGTGTACATAAACCATCAAGCAGCAAACAGAAGTCACACAGCTCAAGAGCAGCTGACCTGATCTTGGCTTTGGGGGAACTTCATGTCCCAGCCCTGTCCGCCATTCACCTTCAAGGAGTGAAAAATAAAAATTGGTAAGCAGAGTTTCTTAGCAGGCAAAGGTTGGTTTCTGGGGAATTGTCTCTTATCTTTTCCTGTGAAAACTCACTCTACTGGATTTGCCAGTGCTTTTTGAGCTTTTCCGCATGAACCATGTGTGGTAGATTTGCAAGCCCTCAACCTGGTTTTCTGTTTAAGTTTTACCACGTGGATGTTCAGTCATCAGATGATGCTAGTTGGCTGTAAGGTGCTACAGGCTGATGTCTTAGGTGGGGTTACCCCTTGTTTCTGTTGAATGGGCTTGTTGGCAGTTGTTTGCTTTGTTGCCAAGCAGTGTATTCTATTGCTTGGACATACCAGTCACCCCTGAAATCTGCCTGTGTCCTGTACTGTACTATCAAGCAAATATGATTTGACTTGTGTAAAATCTGTTTTGTGGAGTACAGTACAAGATACAGCACCTTCCCCTCCATGGTGCTGTTGCTTGCTAAAATACTGAGGATTTTCTGAAGTGGGAGTGGTTATATGTGGCAGGGGGGGGTGTGTCTCACAGCTCTGGCTAGTGTCTCATCACCTAATGATACCTGCATATTACCCTCATCTCTAAATCTCCCTGTGTCCTGTACTCCAAGAAACTGATTTACAGGCAAGTCGAAAATCCTATTTTGGGGGCTCCATCGACACATTCCAATCTTGGCTGTGAGGGGTTGCAGGAGGCACCAGTATGAACATTTGCTCCCTTTGGGTTGAAAGGTCATTTTTGCTTGGGGCATATTTTGGATACTGCTTTTGGGATGCCCATATGTAAACAATTAGTTCCTCCAATGAATGAAAGCGAAAATGTGTTTTTTGTCAATCCCCCATAAAGTCTCTTTTTTTTCTCTCTACCATTTTGGAATACACCACTCCCTTCCCTGTTGGGTGCTTTGGTATTGTCATGTTGCTTTGGTTGAGTTAAACTGTTGTGGTAAGGATGTTTTTACTAGCTACAATTAGGCTCTTGAACAGATCTGTTATACTTATTGGATGGAGCTTGCCCCTTTTTTGATATAGTGTCCCACACTGGCAGTATACCCACAAGCAAAGAACTAGTGCTTTGTCCTCCATTTAATCTTAGGGGTCTATTCTCAAAGCTGCTGAAGGACCCAGCTGTCTCTTCGGCTGATCCTTCGGCTATCTTAGGTTGCGGGAGCTGAACTGAGCTCAACTGAACTGAAGGGCTGCTGTATGGGCTATTCACTATAGCCCGTACAGCGGCCGAGCCAAAAGGATATGTTTCGGCTCTACTGAGCTGAAGTGACAGCCGCCGCGGGGCGAGCGGCTGGCGTTGCGCCTTGCAAATGACAGCTGGGGCGACTGGCTCCGCCCAGCTATAAAGACAGATCAGCGTCCCCAAATGACGCTGAACTGTCATTAAACAATGACAACTGGGCGAAGCTGGCCGTGATGTCACGGCCAGCTCCACCTAGTTGTTCATTGTCCGGGATATGCAAGAAGACTAGCAGGTGCCGGCCAATAGGAAACAGTTGGGTGGAGCTAGCTGTCACTGCTCATTTGTTGGTTTTAAATCTTTAAAAAAAATATTATATTTTATTTACTTTAAAAAAAACTACTTTTTTGCAACTTTTATTTTAATTTTTTGCCGAGCATAATAGCTGAGCCAAATGCTGCTCAGTGGCATTTGGCTATTCACTCACTGCCGTTCTGGAGTGAATAGGGGTGAATGGCAGCTCACTTGCTGCCGGAGCTTCGGCTCAGCCGATCCAAATGTTGGATCGGCTGTCGATGTACTTCGGCTCAGCCGAACATGCAGCTGATGTACGACTGAGCCTAAGTGAATAGCCAAATGTTGTTCAGCTCACTTCACTTTGGCTCGGTTATTAACTCGGCTGCCTTTTAGATTCTTAGACCTTAGAATGTTTTTACATTGAGTACTAATGTTCCTATTTTTGTAGCAACAGTTGCTGTAATGGCAGCTTGAAAGGTAATTTTAAGTATACATTTGTAGTATGGTGAGAAATAAATGCCATGCTGTCTTTAATCAAATAATGTAGGAGTCGTTTCCTATATACACCATGCTTGTTTTTTTGGATTTGCACTATACAGCTGTCTAAACTTTGTTATTTGAAAAAATTGCAAATAAATTTTGTTAGCTTGAATGTACATTGTTTACTCATTTGCAGTGCTGCTCAGAATGTTAAGCTATTCAGCCTGTAACCTTAAGCCCTCGTTCACAACTGAACGTTTTGTAGCGCGTTCTACGCTCGACAAACGCTCTACAAAACGCTCAAAAAAATAAATCCCATTGTATTCAATGGTCTCGTTCCCACCTTGGCGTATTTCCGCCCGTCCCTAACGCGCTACAAAACGGCCCACGCCTGAAAAGGTACAGGTACTACTTTGGGCCGTTTTGTTGCGCGTTTCCATTGGGATACAGCCAAGTAGCCTTCGGAAACGCGCGACGGTCGTGCGACTTTTTTACCGCGAATCGCCGTAAAAAAACATGTGACGGTCGCGCATATGCAATATGCCTAGGTGTGAACGAGACCTAAGGTGTATTTCCACTTCTGCAGTCACATTTGGGAAATCCCTTCCATGTTTGTCTTCCTATTCACAGAGCATACAGAAAAATAATTTAAAAAAAAAATTCTAACCTTTTTTAGGTTGTTGTTAAATCAGGCAAGATGGCCGGTTCCAGGTTTTTCTTAGCCCTTTCACAGTGGTCTGTCCAAATAGAAAGTCTGAAATTAGAGGATTGTGTTTATCTGATGAGCTTCATTAACATACAATGCACTTGCCACCTCTAAATGGACAAGACCCCTCACCCATCACAGCCCCTCCTAACATTTCAAAGAAATAGAAGCACAAATAGATTTTAACCCTAAAACACCTAACCCAAGCAAAAAAAACGCTAGAAGCATCTATCTATCGATCGTGAATGGGAACATGTAACAAATCTAAAATAGGGGTTATCCCAATTTGGTTGCGAAAGTGGAAATACACTCTAAGGAGTAGCAGTAGGAGGGAATTTAAATTTGGCTCTAGGTTTTTCCTCGTTTCTGTGGTTTGGTACCAAACAGTTTGCAACTTTTTGACAGTTAATACTTTTTTCAATGGCAGGTTACGAGTTACTCTTTCAGCCAGAGGTAGTACGTCTCTACATTTCTCTTGTGAAGTTGTCACATGCACCTGCTATCTTGGAAGCAGCAGCTGGAGCAATACAGAACCTTTGTGCTGGAAACTGGACTGTAAGTTTCATCTAAACTTAACTGTGCATTGTTTCTCTGTGTCTGCTCACTGCTTTTTTTGGTGGAGTGTTTAGGAGATTGTCTATGTGCTGGGTTTGTGTGAAATATGATTAATACATGTGAACAGAAATCTCTTACCATTTTTTTAAAGTATCTGTCTGGGCAGATTAAAAAAAAACCTGCAAGTTCATAGAAATGTTTGTTAATCATGGCAGAAATCTGGTCTGCTCCCCACTGTCTGTTGTGGGATAACACTGCTGCCTCTGCTACACTGATACCCCAAGCAGTGTTGTCAACACTGCCAGTTTTCCTTTGCTGGACTATAGAACTCCACCCCTTATCGCATCCATAACATAAGTTCTGTAGTCCATCAAGGGGGAACTTATGGCTGACAATACTGTTTACAGCAGGAATTTAGGAACTCACTACATGTCTGGCTGGCTCAACAGGTATTTTTTTGTAAGAGACCAAACATGGTTACCTGAAATATGCAGATATTGCAGTTATACTGAGTGAGGGAAAGTTATTAAAACTGGAGCAGTCAGCTTCTCGCTTTCATTTTCAAAGTTTAACTAAACTTTTTGTCTGCTGCAATTTTGATTTACTTATTTGCTAAATACAAGTTTACAACTTATACTTTATTAAACAATTGCAGTTTCCTGTTCCGGAGGTGGGTTCCTTCTACAATATGTGTGGCCAACAGAAATTGTAACTTTCACATTAACTGCTAGAGGATTGTACTGCTAGGGCTGACTGTATTTCGAAGTCCACCTCTCAGATCTGTCCTTTCTGTAGTTCTCACCTGAAACTGATGGTTCTCCTGCATGCACATTGTTCTCTTCTCAGTGTCCACATTGTTACACACACTAAGCACCACTGGGTTGCAACAATTCCCCACATTCTACATTTGCTGCTACACACCTTGTTCCCTTGCTCCTGTTCACATTATTACACACTAATTGCATCTCTTCCCAGCTTTTCCCACAATAGCATCTGCCGCAGCTCATGCTCTCTGCAGGAGCTCCTGACAAATATTCCCTGCTGTCCGCAGTGCGTTTTCCTGCAGCTTTCCTCACTGGCTATAGCTTCTCTTGCACTTCAACCACCACTGTGCTTACACCAGTATCCTTCCCAAATTCTGTACGCAGCACTGTCTGCATTCATCGCAGCTTTCACTCTGTGGTTTATAATGAACTTAATTTGGAGCCATCTCCCTGCTGTGTTATCACCACATATTAAATGCTGTTCTTTCTGCAGTATTATGTCTTTGGAAGCTGCTTCTACTCTCCTCTGCATGCCATAGTAGAGATAAATATCCAAGCACATATAAAAGTAGGGTATCCTAAATATTCCTTGGTCCTCATTGTGCTAAGCTCCACCTCTTCTAGGCCTGGCCAGCTGCAACCCTTCCATCTATATTCCTGAACTATAATAGGCACCTAATCTGCCCTTTTAAGCTGGGTACACACACAGATGTTTTTCTTAAGCAATGATCCGTGTGTACCCGGCTCTACTTTCCTCTGCAGTCTACAGTGAGTTCCTGATTTGGATCTAGAATCTGCTTTGCTCTGCTCATTTTTCTGCTGTTTTGTAATAATTTGCTCCTATGAACATTCTCTACTCTGTCCTTCTGATCTGATCAACAGCATCCATCATATTTCCATGTTCTCTGCTATCCCCTGTCTACATCCTTCAAACCCCCTACTACATCACACTCAGCTTGTGCTCTGTCTCCCTTTATCTTTCTCCGTGAAATTGTGTTTCTATCCAAATGATATCTCTAGATAAAGAAGCATCTGATTGGGAAGTATTGCATACTAGTATGTTATCAATCAAAGGCTAAAAGGTGTAGCTAAAATGAATGCCAGAAACACATTTGCTAGTTACCTATATTTCAGAGCAGCAGTGCTACTCTTTAGTAGTTAGTTTTGCAGGATATAGTGTGTAAACAGCATTGATGTGACCTTTTTCTCCACCATAAATCACAAACTAGACAATGTATAGGAGAGGAGGTCAGACAGTGCTTTGATCTCTAGTCATCCAGGATAGGTCTCCTGTCAGCTCCCAGTTGAACATCCTGCAGAGATTTCGATCCACTCTCTGTTCAGAGAGATCTGCGTCTGTATCTCACCCACAGTCACCCCATAGTTAAGCCATTGATGTTGGTGAGCTAAAACAAAGGGAGCTTGAGGAAACAGGTGACTTATGTACCTTTTTTAACTTGACGTAACCCTTTCTGTTTTATCACAATCAGAGGAAGGACAGAGTGAAACAGCAATTTCTTCATAACAAAGAAAGGGCCATTTTACCTGAAAGAACATTCCTGATGAATGCAAATTAAAGTGCTGTCTGACTTTTCTTATAGGAGGTCTAACCTTGTGACAAGCTGCTTTTCGTGATTTATGGTGAAGGAAAAGTCACATCTCTTGTTCTTTATAGATTACCTCTTGCAATATTAACAACTAAAGATTTAGCCACCACTGTTTGTACTTACTATTCCGATATATCATCTGATTTAGCCTGCTGCTTTTAGATTTCTTGTATTTACCATATTTTCATTTGATCATTTACATTGCTTGCTGTTAATTTAAAAAAAAGTGTGTGTGTGCGCACATAAGCACACACCATTATGACCACCTGCCTAATATTGCGTTGGTCACCTTTTGCGGCCAAAACAGCCATGACACGTCAATGGACTCCACTAGGCTTTGAAAGGTATGCTCGCTGTGGTATCTGGCATCAAGCTCTAATTAGCAGATCCTTTAAGTACTGTAAGTTGCAAGGTGGGGCCTCCATTGATTGGATTTGTTGTTCCAGCACATCCCACAGATACTTAATTGGATTGAGATCTGGAGAATTTAGTCAACACCTCAAACTCGTCATGTTACTCAAATAATTCTTGAACCATTTTTGCAGTGTGACAGGGTAAATTATCCTACTGAAAAGAGCACTGCCTTCAGGGAACACCGTTCCCATAAAAGATTGTACTTGGTTAGCAACAATGTTTGGAGAGGTGGCATGAGTCAAATTATCCACATGAATGGCAGGACCCAAGATTTCCCAGCAGAACATTGCCTAAAAGATCAAACTGCCTTCGCCAGCTTGCCTTTTTCCCATAGTGCCTCCTGGTTCCTTCTCTTCCCAAGGTAAGTGACACACACGCACCTGGCCATCTACATGAAGTAAAAAAAAATTTGATTAATCAGACAGGCCACCTTCTTCCATTGCTCCGTGGTCCAGTTCTGGCGCTTTTGCTTTTGGTGGTGGACACGGGTCAGCAACGGCATCCTGACTGGTCTGCGGCAACGCAACCCACTATGTAACAAACTGTGATGCCCTGTGTGTTCAGGCACCTTTCTACCAGCATTAACTTTTTCAGAAACTTGGCCGCCCATGACCCTGTTGCCGGTTCACCAGTTTCCCTTCCTTAGACTACTTTTGGTAGGTCTTGACCACTGCAGTCTGGGAGCATCACACAAAAGCTGCAATTTTGGAGTTGCTCTAACCCAGTTGTCCAGTCATGACAATTTGGCCCGTGTCAAAGTTGCTCAAATCCTTACTAACAACCCGTACTTACGAATTGAGGTCCGATAACACACACACTAAAAAAACTTTGTACAATGAACTGCAGTAAAGTCGGTGACCCTTAGTGACAGCTGTATGTGTCGACGGCTGTGCGGGAATCTGATGTGCACACAGGCGGCTGTGCAACTGCCTGTCATTTAGGAGAACTGTTAGCATAACGGAGCCAATAAGAGACTCTGCAGGCTCCGCCAAGCAGCCACATCCTGCTGTTTGGGTCATCGTGAGGGCCCCCACCTGTTTTTGTGTCATACCAATACAAACAAAAGAAAACATGAGAATGCCTAAACATTTGTAATTGCAACAAATTTCTGCTCAAAGTGGTGCATTATCTGACAGGAATGTAGGGATGCCAATATTTTTGGCCATGACTGTATACAGTGAGGAAAATTAATGATTTGATCTCCTGCAGATTTTGTAAGTTTGCCTACTTACTATGAATTAAAAGGTCTCATTTTTATCATAGGTGTGTTTTTAAATGATAGAGACCGAATATCAACCAAAAATCCAGAAAAAACACGATACAAATGTTAATCAAATAATAATAATTTTATAGTTCAATATTATCAGAGGATAGAGGCTACTTCTGTTTGTATGCTTTTTAGGAATTCGTCCCATCAAGGGATTGGCTGGGCTTCCCACATCACCCAAGGCGCTTCTCCCTTGGGGTCCCTGGCGTAACGATGGACGCGTTGTGTGGTGGTTGGGCTGGATTATCAGCCGCCCATCATTTCGGTCCATAGACATCGACCCTTATCCAGGCACCAAGTGTGTGTGTGATTTATCCTAATTTTGATCCCCTGAGGAAGCAAATTGCGAAACGCGTAGGGAGAAATATGCCATATTTATCTGGATATTTTAATTATGAATTGATTGTCTATATGGTCGTCCAACTAGTAAGGACAAATTATGTTAGTTATATTGGGATATTGCATCCATGTTATGTCTGTAATTATGGTTGTATTAATATTAACACCAAGTCTGAAATTGTACTTATGGGGCATATGATTATAGAAATGTTATCAATAATTTTGTATATTGCAATAACTGGATATATTTTTTTATTGTATTTATCTGTATGTTCAATACATTTTGATATATTTTGCTTATGCACTGGTTATACATCTCTCTACAAAACCCTTCTTCCAAATATTTTTTTGTGTTCAATACATTTTAGGGTGAGAGGTCAATATAGGGAACCAAGATAGAGGTGATCCACAAGTTTTTGAAATACAATTTTTACAGATGTACGAAAAGGTTATAGCAAAACAGCCATTTTTTTTATTTTCAGACACCTTACTGACTGGGATGGCACCAACTGCTTGGCATAAGGCAAATGTAGTACCAAATATTCAAAGTTTTGAGCTGCTTATCAGGAAACTACAGACCAGGTAGCCTAACATATAAAGTATTTGAGT